ATCAAAGTGCCCCAAGAGAGCCCAGAGGAGGAGGAGGAGGAGGCATGAACACCACCAAGAATGAACCCAAAAATTCGGATGTGCCAATACATCCAGAAACGGCATCATGATGCCGCCAACTGGCGCCGGTCGGGGTCGACAAATCCTGCCACACTGCGAAAAGTGCACGACTCCCATCAGCGCGGCGAGACGCATAGCGCGGCAGGACACAGCGCGTGCCTGAGGTGGCCAAGACATTGCGCACAGGCACGAGCAAGAGGAACGAAGCAGACGCGGGAGGGTGGGGAAGAGACGACGACCAGAAGGGCGGCGGCGCCATAGGACAGCGGAGGCCTATACGACGCCCTCGAACCAAACTATCGATGAGAGTGTCCCGGGGGCCCGAAGCCGGGCGAAAGCGCCGTTCGTGGAACAATTGCAACGCCCAGATCCCAGTGTCCTCCTCAGAAGATGAACGGAAGGCTGCATAAACCAAGGCCGCGAGGACTCCTCGGATTGGCACTGGGCCCCCCTCCCATGGCGCGCGGAGCGCGCCAGGGCGAACCTATTCCCCCCTTCTCGTCCTGCCTCCTCCTCCTCCTCCTCCTCCTCCCTCCTCCCTCCTCCCTACTCCCTCCTCCCTCCTCCCTCCTCCCTCCTTCCTCCTCCTCCTCCTCCTCCTCCTCCTCCTCCTCCTCCTCCTCCTCCTCCTGGTGTTTCGTGAAGTGTTTCCCCAGGTGGCCCGCACCCTGGTGAGTGGCCTCTTGGGAGTAAAAATCCGCCGACCCTGTCGGCGTGTGCGAGGGGCTTGGCTGTTCGAGTCGTCCTCTCCGTCGGTCGTCGCCTCCGTCGTCCCCATTTCCCTGCAGCTTCCTTCTCAAGCTCGTGAGCGAGAGAAAAATCTAGCAGTGTCGTAATCGAGTCGAAGGGAAGCCCCTTCCCTTCGATCCCTTCCCCGGGGGGGGGGGGTCCCGGGGGGGTGGGGGGCAGATTCGTTTTCCCTCGGGCGGCCTCGACGCCTCGAAAACACTCCAAATGAGGTCCGAATGCCCAGAATGGCCCCCGAGACGGCCCAGGAGGGCCCCGAGTCGCCCACAGATCGGCCGAAAACGCCCACGATAGCCCCAAGACCGTCCAAGAAGCCTCCAAGACGTCCCAGGCCCCCTCCAAGAGACCCCCAGGAAGCCCCAAGAGGCCCCCACGAGGCTTCCAAGCGGTCCCTGAGCTTCCCAAGAGGCCCGCAAACTACCCCCAAGAGGCCCCCAAGAGCGCTCGTCGTCGTCGTCGTCGTCCCCATTCAGGGTCGGCGGCACCGGCCGTAAGGCCTTCGCAATCCAGCTCTCGGTTCCGAAGTGCGTTTTCATGGCATCTCATCCGCAGCTGCGAGAGCTTCTGCCCAAGCTTGCGTCGGGTACTGCTCTTGAGAGTGCCAAACCTGTGGTTGCTGCTAGGAACCTTGGCCATGTCACTACGTTCGGCAGCAGGCGCTCTGTCAAGATGCGCACGGCCAGGGTTTGCCGGGGTTTTAAGGCTGCTGGGAAGATGAAAACTGACGTTTTGCCGGCGTTTTGCCGGCGTGTTGCCGGGGTTTTGCCGGGGTTAAGATCAGGAGGTTCACGAAAATTGACAGGCGAGCTCCCAAACTTCTTTTTCACGAATTCGTATCCAAAGTCCGTGTGGGCGGCAGACGTCCATGGTGTTTGCCCTTCGTCTCTCAAGCGGCTCCGCAGCAGCGCTCATGCCAGCAGCTTGTTAAGTGGCAGAGGCACGTGTTGCACCAGCAATCCGCCTGACCTACGGTGCCAGGCGCGATCCAGTGTAAGTTCATGTTCGTCGCCTCGTCGCCACTTGGCTGGACCGGCTCGGGAAGCGTCCTGGGCTTCTGGAGCGCGTGGAGTCTGTGTGGGACCGTTCTCTGGATCGCCTCAAGAAGGGCTGGACGTGGGTGCGGGGGCCCCTCAGCGCACTGCAGGCCATTTTAATTCATCTTGGATGGCAAGCGCCCAGCCCTCGTACCTTCATCAATCCTTCCAGAAATGAATGGGCTTTAGTGAATGGTGTTGACAGTCCTGCCACGCAGCTGCTGCAGGATCTAGATGACACCATCGAGACCGTTCAGTGGATCGAGGCCTCGAAGTTTTATCTCGGGAAAGGCGCTGAGCGAGGGGTTTCCTTGCAGCATGTAGGTGAGCTCGCTAGACATTCAGTTAAAGACGGTGAAGCTGACTTGGCCGCCATGGTGAGAGTTGTTGCTTGTGGCGGTATCCGGCCAGAAGAGAGAAAGCATGAGTGCGCTCTCGTTCCTGACCCCATGTGCCAGCGCTGCCGAGGAGATTCCGACACACCCAAACACAGAATTTGGCAAAGCCATTGCAATACCGATAGCGAGCTTATCCAGGTCCAGGCCAGTGAGTATTTAAGGCATGAGGCAATCGCCGAATTCGACAACTGCCCAATCTTTTGGGGCCGGGGCTTCTCACCTCTTGATTGGTTCTCCCTCCCTCCTCCGCCTGAGCAGCGTTTCCTCGAGTACCACGGGTGTGAGCCCTCGGAACCCTTCCCTGGAGGCATTTACGGGGCTGACGGTGCAGGATGTGCTTAGTCTAAGCATCATGTGCTGCGCTGGGTGGCCTTCGCTTCCGTCAGGAGGCTTGACGCTTCCGGGGATGATTTTTATTGGAGCCAAGGGGTCACGGGTCTGGTCGAGGGCAAAAGGCAGACGGTCCCAAGGGCTGAGCTGACAGGCCTGATTGAGGCCGTTCGCCATGTTGCCAAGAACGAAGACTTGACTCTTGTTTGTGATCAGATTAACCACGTGAACGCCTACCATAAAGAAAGGCCTCATACTTTTCGCCTTGCCAATGCAGATCTGTGATGGGAGTTGTGGCACCTTTTTGATTTGCGCACGGCTGCAACTCATTTGGTGCATTGCCCTTCTCACCTTGATAATAATGACAAGTTTCGCAGGTTTGGGCGCACGTCGGTCGCAGAGCATGTTTACGTCAATCGTGCTGCGGACCATCTTGCTGACCAGCGTGCCGAGTCTGCTCAGATCCAGACTCAGATCTGCCGAGATGTGCTAGCACTTGAGGGGAATGCAAAATCGATCCTGCTGCGTATGGCCTCCCTCACTGTTGCGATCGCGTCCCGTCCGAAGGATCGCTCGCGCGTTGTCGTTAAGAGCATTGTGGACCGGACAGAGAAGGCCAAGCAGCGCAGGCTTGAGTTCATACGAGCCTCGTCTCACCAGTTGTTTTAAGGATGCAAGCACTTCTTGAAAACGCTCTAGGTGCGGCCCCAAAGCCCGAGAGAAGTCGCGAGGTTTCCGGGACTCCGTTTTGTCGGCTTGCCCCGCCCTTGCTCCTAGGCCTCCCGTCCCGCTCCCCAGGGTTGCCCCGTCCTTGGAGCCCGAGGCCCCTTGGATGAGTGGCTTTGGCGTCATTTGGGTTTGGAGGATCCGCCCCAGAGAGTTGCCCACCCTACCTTTATAGGGGGACAGCAGTTGAATTCAAGTCACGAGCTCTGGTTTATAGGGCGCTTTGTGTTTTGTGGTCTGTGCGGGTCATGGGCCGCCCAGCGACCAGTCAACCGTTTGATTGGTTGCCATGTGGCCCTCGAGGGCCCGCACAAAATCTCCCGAAGAAATTGCAGGCGCTCCAGCGAGTACGCAAGGGTAAGCCACCTCAGCAGACTGCCTCTTCTTGGGGTGACGAGTGCGCCCTAGAGCTTTACGTACACGTATTTTCACCGTCGAGTTTTAACCTGCTGGCAGAGTTTGGCTTGATGATGCACAGAGTGAAAAATCCTCCTCTTCCTCCTCCTCCCCCTCCTTCTTCCCCCCCTCCTCCTCCTCCTCCTCCTCCTCCTCCTCCTCCTCCTCATCCTCCTCCTCATCCTCCTCCGCCTCGTCCTCCTCCTTCTCCTTCTCCATCTCCTCCTCCTCCTCCTCCTCCTCCTCCTCCTCCTCCTCCGCCTCCAACTCCGCCTCCGCCTCCGCCTCCGCCTCCGCCTCCGCCTACGCCTCCACCTCCTCCTCCTCCTCCTCCTACCTCTCCCCCTCCGCCTCCTCCTCCGCCTCCGCCCCCTCCTCCTCCTCCTCCTCCTCCTCCTCCTCCTCCTCCTCCACATCCTCCTCCCCCCCTCCCCTCCTGTCCTCCTCCTCCTCCTCCTCTCCTCCTCTCCTCTCCCCTCCTCCTCATCCTCCTCATCCTACTCCTACTCCTCCTAAACCTCCTCCTCTAACCTCTCCTCCTCCTCCTCCTCTTCCTCCTCCTCCTCCTCCTCCTCCTCTTCCTTCTCTCCTCCGCCTTCCTCCTCCTCCTCCTCATCATCATCTACATCTCATCATCATCTCTCATCCTCATCATTTCCTCATCATCATCTCATCATCATCATCATATCACATCATCATCTCATCATCATCATCAGCATCATAATCCCCTCCCTTCTCCTCCCCTCCTCCTCCTCCTCCTCCCACTCCTCTCAGTGCGCCAGGGCAGAGCAGCAACGGCGGGCGGCGGGCACCGACCTCCTCGACCCCTCCTCCTCCTCCTCCTTCTCCTCCTCCTCCTCCTCCTCCTCCACCATCTCTCCTCTCCTCCCTCAAACCTCCTCCTCCTCCTCCTCCTCTCTCCTCCTTCCCTCCCTCCTCCTACTCCCCCCTCCTCCTCCTCCGCCCTCCTCCTCCTCCTCCTCCTCCTCCTGCTCCTCCTCTCCTTCTCCTCCTCCTCCTCTCCCGCACCGCCTCCGCCTCCGCCTCCGCTCCTCTCGCTCGCCTCCTGCTCCTCATATCCTACTCCTCCTTAAACCCCTCCTCTAACCTCCTCCTCCTCCTCTCTCCTCCTCCTCCTCCTCCTCCTGCTCCTCCTGCTCCTCCTCCTCCTCCTCTAACCTCCTCCTTCTCCTCCTCCTCCTCCTCTCCCTCCTCCTCCTCCTCTTCCTCCTCCTCCTCCTCCTCCTCCCTCCTCCCACTCCTCTCAGGAGCCGCCAGGGCAGAGCAGCAACGGCGGGCGGCGGGGCACCGACAGGCCGACGATCAGGAACCCGAAGGAGGCCGCGGGCTGGACCTGGCCCGCCGCGGCGCGGGCAGCGCCCGCGCAGGGCGACGTGGGGCGGCGGCGCCGCTCGCCGCGCCGCCTCCCCGTCATCATCGCCCTCCTCCCCCCTCCTCCCTCCCTCCCTCCCTCGTCCTCGTCCTCGTCCTCATCCTCGTCCTCGTCCTTCTCCCGTTTCTCCTCCTCCTCCTCCTCCTCCTCCACCTCCTCCTCCACCTCCTCCTCCTCCTCCTCATCCTCCTCCTCCTCCTACTTCGTCATCCGTCCTCATCGCCCTCCTTCCTTCCTCCCTCGTCCTCGTCCTCGTCCTCGTCCCCGTCCTCCTCCTCCTTATCCTCCTCCTCCTCGGCCTCGTCCTCGTCCTCTCCTTCCTTCCTCCTCCGCCCCCCCACACCCCTTCTCGTCATCGTGCCTCCACCGGTCCCCCTCATGTGCCATCCTCCGCGCCCTCCGCCCTCCGCCGCTCGCCTCGCTCCTGCAGTGTCCCAGTTCTCCTCGCCCCTCCTCCTCGCGTATCCTCCTTACCATGCCTGTGATCACCACACACATGGAAGCACTATCCTCATTCTCTCTGCCCTCGACTGACTCTTCTCCCCTCGACTTGTACCACCAATACCCTTCTGCCTCCTGCGCCTCGCCGCACTCATCACACGCGTTACGCCGCTGCTGCCTGCCACTGCAGCCAGCGGCCAGGATATTCTGTGGCAGTTCGTGGGAGCCTCCCATGTCATCTTCCTGACTCTTGAGAATCGGCGCTAGCCGACGCTGATCGACGCCAGCCGGCGCTCATGCACGCAGAATCGATCCCGCTCGGTTTTACCACTGATCACGGGACGCCAGCGCACGCCACTGCACTCTGCATGCGGAATCCCGAGGCACACAGGGCCCCCGTGATCGGCGACGACCGAAAGGACACGTGGGCCCATGCGCATCCCCCGGGAGCCGAAGCCCGGGGGGCCCCTGCCCGGGCCCCGCGCCGCTTCTCGCCGGCGGCGGGGCGGGGCAGGGCTCTTCTGCGGGAGCGGCGCCCCTCGCCTGGGTTGGGCCCCGCTCGGCCACGGGGCGCGTGCACGGCCTTGGGAGCTGTGGCCGACGCCGCCGCCTCGGTGTGGTGCGGTCCTCGTGGGTTGCCACCACCAAAGCATCAGCAACATCACCACCACCCGCATCGTGATCTTCCCTGTGCTTCTGCTCGATGGGGCCTCCCCCCGCGTTCCCCCCTCCGCGACCGCCCTCCTCTGTATTTTGGACGCCGGACATGGGTACCGAAAAAATGGGTACGGTGCCCAACAACAAATGTTGTCCCAAACCAACAGCGGCCGCTGTTGGGCAGGCGGCCTCCTGTCTCAAATGTGCACAGGCCGCGGCGACACCGACAGCGAGTCCTGTTTAAAATGAACAGAAACTGTTGTTGGGCATTGTACCCATTCTTTCCGTACCCATTTCGGTCGTTCCGATTTTCCACTTGAGCGACAAAAGCGAAGGCAAGATGTCATAATTAGAGACCTTCTGCGGCGGCTCACGAGGGCCGCCGGCGCGGCACGCCGGATTGGAGAAGAGGGCGCTTGCGCGGGACCTTACGCGGGACGCTTACAGTCGGGGCGTTGACCTAAGGAACCCTAAATAAGGAACGAGGCCCCTTTTTCCGATAAGTAAAACTTCGATGTCCCATCGAAACCCTAAGCAAAACCAAAGGCGAACTGCAAAACAACTAAGGAACACCGAGCCCCTCCCCAACGAAAAGGGTTCCTTCCTCAGCGCCCCGACTGTACGCGCCAATGTGGGTGAAAACGGACATGTTCACTTCCGTTGCTCACTTGTCTAGTTTGCCTCTGCCCGTTACGGCTCGCCAGTTGTCCGAGCGCGTCGGCGTCCTCCTTCGCCGCTGGCCGAGCAACAAATTCCTGCTCGAACGGAGACAACATCCTAGACTCAACTGCGCATGCTCCGGCACATCTTGGCAAAAAAACATTCCCCCCAGCGGGGTCCCTCCGTCCACTCCCCCTTTCACTCCCCCCTCTTGGCTCACTTCCATTCCTTCGCTCCCCTTTTGTTTCTTTTCCTAATTATCTTGTGTTCTTATATCCGCCGGCCCCCTTGTGGGGCCACCAGGCTGTAGGACCAGGGTTTGCTGTTCCCTGCGCCAGTTCCAATTTCCAGTTTCCACTGTTACAGTGTTGCTTTATGCTGCTCACTGTTCCTTGTTGTAGGCCGCGCGAGGGGGTGGGAGCCGAAGACCAGCAAACCTAGCGTCTCATGGGAGGGTTCTCAAAAGTTCTGAGGGAGTCGAAATTCATATCCCTCACGCAGATTGGCGGGGTCAGGGTCGAATAACCCATGGGATTTGCCACATTTCTTAAATTCGGTGGCACCCCTCACGCAGATCGGCGGAGTCAGGGTCGAAAAAACAATGGGAGTTGCAAAATTTCTGACATTCGGCGGCACCCCTCACGAAGATCGCCGGGTCGAACAACACAGGCGATTTGCCAGATGTCTGAAATTCGGCGGCACCCCTCACGCAGATCGGCGGGGACAGGGTCGAAACACCCATTGGATTTGCCAAATTTCTGAAATTCGGCGGCGCCCCTCACGCAGATCGGCGGGGTCAGGGTCGAAAAAATTATCCTGGCGATGGACCCAATCATATGCAGTTACGAGTACCGAAAAGCAGGTTGAACGAATGAGAGGGAACTCCCTAAGGGGCCACGAAACGTGTGAGAAGTGTGCAATTGGTGCGGTGCCGCCATGCGAACGCAGCCACTGGGGCCCTCGGTGGAGCTCCCTATGGGGCCACGAAACGTGTGAGGGGTGTGCCGAAATAGGTGCGGTGCCGCCATGCGAACGCAGCCACTGGGGCCCTCGGTGGAGCTCCCTATGGGGCCACGAAACGTGTGAGGGGTGTGCCGAAATGGGCGCGGTGCCGCCATGCGAACGCAGCCACCGGAGCCCTCGGTGGAGCTCCTTATGGGGCCACGAAACGTGTGAGGGGTGTGTCGAAATGGGCGCGGTGCCGCCATGCGAACGCAACCATTGGAGCCCTCGGTGGAACAACCTATGAGGCCACGAAACGTGTGAGGGGTGTGCCGAAATAGGTGTGGTGCCGCAATGCGAACGCAGCCACTGGGGCCCTCGGTGGGGCTCCCTATGGGGCCACGAAAGGTGTGAGGGGTGTGCCGAAATGGGTGCGGTGCCGCCATGCGAACGCAGCCACGGGGGCCCTCGGTGGGGCTCCCTATGGGGCCACGAAACGTGTGAGGGGTGTGCCGAAATGGGCGCGGTGCCGCCATGCGAACGCAGCCACTGGGGCCCTCGGTGGAGCCCCTATGGGGCCACGAAACGTGTGAGGGGTGTGCCGAAATGGGCGCGGTGCCGCCATGCGAACGCAGCCACTGGGGCCTTCGGTGGAGCTCCCTATGGGGCCACGAAGCGTGTGAGGGGTGTGCCGAAATGGGTGCGGTGCCGCCATGCGAACGCAGCCACTGGAGCCCTCGGTGGAGCTCCCTATGGGGCCACGAAACGTGTGAGGGGTGTGCCGAAATGGGTGCGGTGCCGCCAAGCGGCAGCCACTGGAGCCCTCGGTGGAGCTCCTTATGGGGCCACGAAACATGTGAGAGGTGTGCGAAGGGGGTGTGCGGGACGCATGCGGCCGGTGGAGAGGAGGAGGGGGAGGAGGAGGAGGGGAGAACGCGGGGACCGTTTCTTCAAAACGAGGACCCAACACCACAGGATGGTTGGGAACAATAGGAGTTGCCACATGTTTACAATCCGGCGGCACCCCTCACGCAGATCGGCGGAGTCAGGGTCGAACAACTCATCGGATTTGCCGCATGTCTTAAAATTCGGCGGCGCCCCCCACGCAGATCGGCGGAGTCAGGGTCGTACAACCCATGGGTCTTGCCACATTTCTGAAACTGGGCGGCGCCTCGGGTCAAACAACAAGGGATTTGCAACATTTCAATACTTAGTAAAACAGATTCTTGCACAGCATACGCGAGCAAGCTCGAAATACAACACCGAATTCAACAATATCATCATAATATCAAGTTGTCTTGCCAGTTACTCATCGTCTTCGCGTGATGTCCCGACGCTGATTCACGGTGGCGCCAAGGCCTCATGATTTCGCCCTTGCATTGCCCATTATCCGAAAGAGGGGGCCGGCGGCAGTGGGCGAAGCCCTTACGTATACATGTAGATATGTGTATGTAGATATGCATATATGTATGTATACACACATATACATATTTCAATCTATACATATATATATATGTATATATATATAAATGTATATATGTATAGATATAGATGTTCCACCACCTCCACCACACCGTGTTCAGCCTCCGCTCTGGGCCTCTCCGCCCTACGATATTCCCTGCCCTCCTGCCCGAAGAGGCGGAAAGGGTGTGAGAGGAGGGGATGCAGGATGGAGGAAAAAGAGGACCAAGACGGGGAGGATGGAGGATGGAGAAAAAAGATAACCAAAACGGAGGAAAAAAGATGGGAGCATTGAGAAACCATATTGGGGAGTAGACAGTGGAGCAAAAGGGGGAAAAGAAGAGGCGGACGAGGACGGAGAGGGGGACGAGGAGATTTTTAGCGCGGATGAACTAGGGAGGGATGAGGGAAGGCAGTGCAAGGCGGAAGGACAGACTACGGGGGGAAACATATGGGGGGATGAGAAAAGCTGTGAAGAACTGAGGAAAAGGATGATCAAAATGGTGGTGGCATCCTTTCCGTATAAAACAACGTCGCAATGAAGAGCTGCCCTGTCGGACCGTTCCTGACAATGTCCCCTCCCCAGCCTACGCCCAGGGACTTGGGGAGGCATCGTTGACAACCTCGCTGGGGGTGGCCCCCCTGGTGGTGGTGTCGCCTCGACGTAACACTCGGGTAATACTCGCGTTCGGGAGACTCGAGTTGGCCTGACAGGGCGTCGGCAAAATAGCCTTCAGGTCAGCCCTTCAGGTCAGCTCTTCAGGTCAGCCCTCGCCTGGCTCTCTTCAGCCAGTTCGTTCTGATTCAACCTCACGTGGCAAATCTGTCCTTCAAGTCGCCCCTGCATCAGAGCCGCGGCGACGGCTGCTCCTGGTCGCAGGGCAGCCCCCCACGCGGCTGTCCTCTCATTGCGCAACAGGTGTGTCCTGTTTGCTCGATGTGGTCGACATCTGGTAAATTGACGTTGCGCTGCTTGCGCTTTCCCGAGGATTATTTACGCTCCGGCTGGCTACAGCTACCCCATTTTCCAGGGCAGCGGCTTTCAGCGTAGTTACGCAGCTGACTACGAATCCCCGACATCTGTCTCCGACGGACATCCACTCATAATAGACGCACCGGCCTAAGCAACGGGCGCCATCCTGTCGGTCCTTCCCAGTGCCGAGGAACATCTGGCACAACTCGAACTACTCCCTTTCTCCGAGCTTTGCGCCAGCGTGCGTGATCGCTCCTGGTCCTGCTACTTTGGTCGTGTGGAGACGAGGACAAGTCCAAATCTCGCGCCACATGAATGTCCCGCATTCTTCGATCTGCCCAGGTTCGCGATGTTGACTGGAAGCGACGCGGGGCCGACGGCAAAGCCACCGTGACCCGCGTCTTGCCTGGGAAGTTCGCTGGAAGGTTCCACGGGGCCGACGGCGAATCCACCGTGACCCGCGCTCTGGCTGGGAAATCCGATGAACACATCCTTTTCAATATCAACCGCGACAACCTCGGGTCGAGGCGTCCGTGACGGGACAGGCTGCATTCTCTTCGCTCCGACGGGGTCGTCGAACATGGGCCCTACATCCCTCATCCTCCTCGAATGGCAAGAACTGGACCTTGAGTTGCCGTCTCCCGCACCTGCGCCTGGAACGTGTTCCTCGCGCTTGGCAAGGTCGAGCACGACCCTCTCGAGTGCATCGGGATTCGTTTCTTGTAGGCCTCTTGGCCGTAGCCAACAAATGGGGCGTGTCAGATGGCCCTCGGACTTTCTGCATGTCATCCCCGCCGCTTTCGACAGTCGACGGGGCCGGTGCCTCAGGCACCGAGGCCCGCCGGCAACGAGGCCCGCCGGCTCAGCTTCAAGATCATCGGAACCAGCCTGGGCGACCTCGGAGACCGCGTCCTTGACCTGGGCGTCCTCGGAGACCTGGGCGACCTCGGAGATCATCCTAGACGACTGGGGGTTACGGCCCATATTCGAGTGCGTGCGCCCCAGGCGGGGTTCTCCTGCCGCCTGCCAGCGACGAGGCCCTGCCTTCTGCACTAACGATTCCCGCCCTTGATCTGGCACGATTCTTGCTAGGCTCCCCCCCCGCAGTGATCGGGAGAGGGTGGATACATCCAGTCCTGGCTATGATTGCCGGAGACACTCTCCTCGTCCACGGGAAGCATCCTCGAGTCCGACTTACTGCCACAAGTTCCGTATCCATCACACTTTCGGCTAGCACCCTGACTTTCGCCAAGTAGTCCAACATATGAGATTATCTGTTGAGCTGATCTCCTAACCTTGGGGATCCCATCAGATGGATCTTGTACATGGGTGGAGCGTGAACGGTGCCGTCCGACGTAACCCCAGTAATCCGTTAAGCAAGTGTGAAAGAGGAGCGTGACACGCGCGCGCGAAGAGAAAGGCGCGCACTATGTTCCCGCTAAGACGCCAACGGCGGCATATCCTCACAACCGTGTTGAATCAAATGCGTGCAGTGGCACATGTAGATAATCTCTGAAAGAGAAGCGAAATGAAGGAAGGCAACGGCTGCTGAGGAGGAGCTAAACGAGGACGGGAGGAGGAGGAGGAGGAAGAGGAAGAGGAGGAGAAGGATGAGGATGAGGAGGAGAACGACGGAAGGACGGGCGGAGGAAGAGCAGAGAACGGGCGAAGGACGGGAGGAGGACGGGAGAAAGGGAGAGCAGGATGATGAGGAAAGGCGGGGAAAGGCGATGGGATCACAAGAGGACTGAAGACGACGGGAAGTGGGAGAAAGATGGGAGGATGGTGGAGAAGGGAGGAACGGCGATGGAGGAAGGAGGAAGAAGACAAAGGATGAGGTGGGGATAAGGAAGTGCAGGGTCAGGTGGGGGATGTGGGGAGTGTGGGAGAAGAGGAGGCAGGTTGATGATGGCCAAAGCTGGGCCCTGAACGAGGCCGTCTCAGCGAGCGGAGGTGCAATGGCCCAGAAGGTGGAAAGGATGCTGCGGCCGCCACCGTACTCCTCCCGCAGAGTCGACCCGTCCTTGCGGCGCCGGGTACGCATCGGCACGAGGACACGATGGCCGACAGCGACCAGGATGAGCACCAGTATCACGCATCGGCACCGCCATCTGTAGCCGCAGGAGCAGTGGCAGCAGCACGGCTTCTGCTGGTGAACTGCCCTCCTCCTCCTGATCCTCCTCATCCTCCTCATCTTCCTCCTGTTCCTCATCCTCCTCCTCCTGATCCTCCTGGTCCTCCTCCTTTTCTTCCTCCTCCTCCATCTCCTCCTTCTCCTACTCCTCCCCCTTCCCCGCCCCCCCTCCCGCCCCACATCCATCCGCTCCCCCACCGATTTCACGACCTCCTCCCCCTCCTGCCCTGATCATCATTCTTTTTGGGCTCTCCGTACACACTGGCAACCAGGGGGGCGCAGCGTCTGCTCGTCCTATGTCTCCTCATCCTCCTCATCCTCCTCATGATCGTCACTGACATCATCATCCTCGTCGTCGTCACTAGCATCATCATCCTCATCATCATCATCATCATCATCATCATCATCATCATCATCGTCATCATCATCCTCATCATCCTCATCATCCTCATCATCCTCATCCTCATCCTCATCCTCATCATCATCATCGTCATCATCATCCTCATCATCCTCATCATCCTCATCATCATCATAATCATCAGAATCAGCATCACCATCAGCATCGTTATCGTCAACACCACCACCATCATCATCACCAGCATCATCATTACCACCTGCAGCACCACTAGTATCATCATCGTCTTCAGCAGCATCGCCATCATCAGCAGCATCATCATAACCACCAGCACCAAAACCATCACCATCCTGATAATCATTACCTCCACCATCATCATGAACACCGTCGTCATAACAACGCCATCAGCATCACCATCATCAACACCGCCATCAACCTTTGCATCGCCATCGGCAGTAGCATCGTCATCCGTCGTCATCGTCGCCGATACCGTCGTCATCATCATTAACATCATCATCACCATCACCATCACCATCACCATCACCATCATCATCATCATCATCATCATCATCATCATCAGCATCATCATTGCCATCAACATTATTTTCAACAGCAGAAGCGGTATCGTCATCATTGACAGCATCATCATCGTCATCGTCGTTGTCATCATCATTATGATCACCTTCCTCCCTTCAAACCAGTAACCAACACATCTATCCGCATCCTCGGCGATCCCCAACAATTGAACGATAGTGGTATCAAGGGAAGGTTACCGATGAGACTGCCCTATCCCAGCCAAGCACGGTTGCATGACAAGCGGCAACTTACAAAAACGCGCGACTGATGTTGGACATGAATTGGCGGCTCTCTGATGTTTATGGGCCGCGCCTACTGGCAGAACGGGCGGGGGCTGGAAAGGGGCATACCGCTCTTTGACAAAACCTTGCGCCCCGATGTGTGGCCGCGGCGATAGCCGCTGCGCCCTCCAAAACAGCCTCAGAGGTGAGGTTTGCTTCCAGGGCGGATTTGGATATCATGCGCTGACAGCATCAAGAGTCATCTAACCAGACCTCCCAAAAGGCTCTTGGTGAAAAAAGTCGACGGCACCTTGAGAGCGCCGGCACCGAGTTGACAACGGGGCCGCTTCAATCCCCGCAGTGGCTCGCGCCGCTGCAGTGCGGGCGAGGCGAGAGGCCGCTGAGCGCGGCTGCGCGGCGCTGGCAGCGAGGCAAGCGCGCGGGCGGGATGGCCGGCAGCCAGCTGCCTCGGAAGGCCCCGCACCGTGCTAGCAGCCCACTGCGAAGTGTACACCAGCGCGGAGTCTGGGCAGAAAGTCACTAGCTGGGGCGTCGAGCAGACGCCACGGCCCTGCGGACCCTCCCGCCGGGCACGAAGAGCCGCCGCGGAGCACGCAGGGCGGGGGGGAGGAGCGAGGGCAGGGCCAGCGCAACGCCCGGCAGCGGAAACCGGGGATCTCCCCGGGCCAGGGGGGCCCAGCGCAGCGTGGCCCTCGATGGGGGCCCTCGACCTCGCAGGCTCCGCCCGGCCCGCGCCTGCAGAGGTCCTCCCTCCGCCGAGCCGCCACCGCGCCACGTCTCCCACCGCTCGCGCACACGCGCTGGGAGCGCGCCGCGCATGAGACCAGCCACCCAAAAACCCCACGGCAAGGCGACGGGGAGCCCAGGGCCGTTGGCGCATCGGCGGCGGATGAGCAGGAGGAGGACGGAGGAGCAGGATGGACGATGCATGAAAAGGCAGTTCGCCAGAGTGCTCTTGCCACACCCACTTCACCAGGAACTGGTGGTGTGGAAGAGGCGAACTTTCAACGTCAGGGCCGACTGCGTACCTTGGGAATCGCACTCTCCGAGGTGTCCGAGAAACGTGGCGGACAGCTTCACATTTTCCTCTGGGCACCAGCTTCGAATAGCGAATGTGGAGGTGAACTGCGACGGAGGCCGTCGGGAAGACGGGATCTCGGGAACTGCATGGATCCTCGAAGCTCATTGGCCAGACGCTGGTGATAGGGCCTCCCAGGACATGGCCATGGATGACTGCTTCCATGAAGGCACACAGACACCCCTCCAGGCCGAAGCACTCGCACTGGAAGTCTGGCTTCAGCAATTCACTCCTGTCACTGTCACGTTCGAGTGGCCACGCATGGCCCCAAGCTGTAAAGTAACAAAAAGAAGAGGAAAAGGCAGAGAAATATATTGCCATCGCTCGGACGTCCTCTCCCCGTGCATCTTTCGGATCCGTGCGTGCTTTCTTTGCCAGGTGATCCAGGATGCGCCTCGATGGTCCTCGCCGGGAAACATGCACACGTCCGAGCGATGCCAATGCATAGGGCGCCGTCGTCGTCGTCATCGTCGACTTCGTCGTCGTCGCCCTCGTCGTCGTCGCCCTCGTCGTTGTCGCCATCATCGTCGTCGCCCTCGTCGTCGTCGTCGTCGTCATCGTCGTCGTAACCCTCGTCGTCGTCGTCGTCTTAGTCGTCGTCGTCGTCTTAGTCTTGGCTGTCGTCTTAGTCGTCGTCGTCGTCGTCGTCGTCGTTGCCGTCGCCGTCGTCTTCGTCTTAGTCGTCGTCGTCCTCGTCCGAGCGGTGCCGAGGGGGAAGGGCTCGCCGCTTCCCCTCGCGCGGCACCAGCCGAGCGGCCCGCTCGGCCCCGGGCCCCCTCGGCCTCGGGGCCGGCGGCGGCCGCAGGAGGGGCGCCCTGCGCGGAAAACGGCGCGCGCCGTCCTCCGCGATCTTGAACATCTGGTCCTTCGGGTACAGCGCAATGTTCCGGTCGTTCCTTCTTGGGAGGCGAGGCCCGGACGAGGACACATCCTCCTCCTCCTCCTCCTCCTCCTCCTCCTCCTCCCCCTCCTCCTCCTCCTTTTCCTCCTCCTCCTCCTCCTCCTCCTCCTCCTCCTCCTCCCCCTCCTCCTCCTCCTCCGGGTGAGGGTATGAATCGAGGAGCTCTGCGATCCGGCGGCTCTGGAGGACGTCTCGGGGCGCCGCGGCCTGCGCAGAGCGCTCCGGGCCGCTCTGAGCAGGTCGTGGAACGCTCTGGAACGGATTCTATCCTCGTCCCAGCCCCGTCCGACCTTCTGATCTTGCGCACGACCTGGTCAGCGGCCATCTGCACCTCGGGGGTCGGGAGGGGGGCAAGCGGAGGGGGGGGGAAGCAGGAGGAGGGAGGGGGAAGGGGACGGGAGGGACGGAGCGACGGGACGGAACAGGACAGGACGCCAACAACAGTCGTCCCGGAGGACAGGCCTAGAAAGAGCACTGCGGTGGCGCCGGAACGCTGGAAGCACGTTGGCTCCCCTGACGTCAGCAGCACGATTTGTAGCGTTGCCCATACTTAGTGTGCTGAAGTGAATCCAACCAGCCCTTCGGGGCGTGGGTGGTTTGGAAAGTTTCCTATTCCATCCCCCATTTTTCCCTTTCGGGGAAGGTTTTACCACTGTTCCTCTATTTATATGCACCCCCTCCCAGGCCACCGGCGGCCAAGCAGGAACCATGCTCCCCCCACCAATACCAAATCGCACTCTGCCTCCACATGTGGAGCATGCGCGGCCAACCCAATGCGGCCCCCCCTCACCAAACCTGTCAAAAACAATACAAAGTACACTTTGGGGCGAGTCTCGAGACATGTTCGTGAAGCCCACGAGCACTTTGTATTGTTTTTGACAGGGACGGCGGGGGTGTCAGCATGTTGCCTGCTGCGCGCAGGGCTACCATCCCAAACAAAAAACAATGCAACATGAACCTCGCGGCTACATCTGGATCATGCTCGGCCACCCCGCGACAACTGTCAAATGGATTTGACAGGGACGGCGGAGGTGGTACCGCATGGCCTGCTGTGCGCAGGCCCACCAGACACAATGGTGGGCATTGGTTTTCGACAAGGACGGTGGAGGCCGACATGTTTCCCGATGTGTGCTGTCACGTGCACAGGCGCAGCTGACACTCTACACGTGCCCCGAATGTGGCGCACCTGGCGCGGCGGCCTCCTCCTCCTCCCTCTCCTCCCTCTCCTCCTCCTCCTCCTCCTCCTCCTCCTCCTCCTCCTCCTCCTCCTCCTCCTTCTCCTCCCCCTCCTCCTCCCCTCTCCTCCTCCTCCTCCTCCTCCTCCTCCTCCTCCTCCTCCCTCCTCCTCCTCCTCCTCCTCCTCCTCCTCCTCCTCCTCCTCCCCTCCACCTCCTCCTCCCCCCCCTCCTCCTCCTTGTCCTCCTCCTCCTCCTCCTCCTCCTCCTCCTCCTCCTCCTCCTCCTCCTCCCTCCTCCTCCTATCCTCCCCCTCCCCCCTCCTCCTCCTCCTCCTCCTCCTCCTCCTCCCTCCTCCTCCTCCTCCTCCTCCTCCTCCTCCTCCTCCTCCTCCTCCTCCTCCCTCCTCCTCCTCCTCCTCCTCCTCCTCCTCCTCCTGCTCCTCCTCCTCCTCCCGTTCGGGTGGGCGTCCGTCCCTTCGGGAGCGTGGGGAAAACCACAGTGCCAGCCTCAGCCCCCACGAGCTGCCCGTTTGGAGAAGGCGGGATGCCTCGCCTGCTTCCTGCGGATACCGCTGCCGAGGGGCCACCGGAAGAGCACCACCTAAAAAGAGACGGGGGCAAGCCGACTTGGAGGGAGAGTGCACAACCAGACCAGAAGGACCAAACCACGCGAAACCGTACGAGATTGGAGAAACGGTTGTCCCTGGGCACTGCCTACGGCTAAGCCTCCTCGGCCCCCCCTCCTGCCGCCGCCCCCCCTCCTCTCACATCCCCACTTCATCCCTCCCAACATCCGCCCGTTCCCTTCCTCCCCATCGCAGCCCCCCTCTGCTCCTCGTCACCCCTTCCCCTCCTCATCCCGTCCCTCTGGCCGCACTCTTTTCCTCATCCTCCTCCTCCTCTTCCTCCTCCTCTTCCTCCTTATCATTATCCTCCTCCTCCAGGTCTGTTAGGTCCTTGGCGCACCACGTCCCGCCCTGCAACGCCTAGCACAACAAGGGGGTGAAATATGTCCAACACTGGAGGTCAGCTCCGATGCAGCGGAAAAGGACTTCCCGAACGACACCTCAGAGCCTGGGTCGACCCCGCCCCTCAGAAGGCTCAGGGATCTGCTAGCATCTCTGGTCCGAGGGCCCTGACGGCACCTCTCAGCGAGGAGCCTGACGCCCTACACGAACTGCACTAGATTCTGCCTCCATCCCGGCACCAGGAGTCGACGCTTGGAAGTGCAAACCGGGCAGCTCGTGGACGGCCCAAGCGTGAAAACGCGCAGAGCACAGCGCCACGAGACCAGTCTCTGACGCCACATCTCTCATGGAAGCGGATCGCTTGCCCACCTTGATGAGCTGATGTCCGTTCGGCTCAGGCACCAGCTCGAGAACCTTGGGAACTCGAGCCTCGTGGCCCGAACCTTGTCCGCGTCGGCAACATTGAGCCCTGCTGGCGCCCCGCCGACACGGGCCAACAGCAGGGCCAGCCCCCGAGCCTGGAAATCTTGGGCCTTGAGCTCATTCGTGAAGCCAGACCGGGCAGGGTGCAGCTGTGCTCCTAGCCTGGCCGCTCAGTCGGCCTCGCAGCTCCCTCGTCATGCCCACCAGAACGTGCCTTGGGCGCTAGCTTTGGCCCAAGACTGGATATTTTCTGCTCATGACATCTGTGACCTCAGACGAGAGATCTGAAGCCTTGATAAAAAAGGGCTGTCTCCGCAGCTCGGCATACGCTGCAGTATCAAGATTCTGTCGCAAACCATGTGTCAATCGCACGCAACGGTTACGGGGACAACGCAGACGTGGCATAGCAGCGAATACAGGGCGTAAGCCTCGGCACGCCCAGCCTGCTGGATGGGGTGGGGCAAAAACCGCACGCCACCCCGTCAAAACCCCTGTGGCAGTCAATCGCGGCCAGCCCCCACCCGGCGCGCTCGAGCGCCAGGTCACCCGGTTGCATCGCCGATCCGTCGATAGCTACGCTACCAGTGAAAACCCACGAGGGTGATGAGCCCACCAAGTGAAAGCAGATTCCGACTTGCGGCGGGGGGTTGAAACGCCAGACTGGGAAGCAAACAACGTGTGGTTTCGAGGTCGTACTCCAATGGCAGTGAATTCGATAGGCTCGGGGAGATCGAGCTCGCGACGAAGAAACCAGGTAGCAGGACAGCCAACAAGCCGATGTTTAGGGGTACGCATTTCTCCGCATAACTTCAAGTTGTAGCAGTGGGCCATACGGCCCATGAATCGAATGCTCTGGGCAATGACACCTCCAAAAACGGTGCCTGCCCAGAACGCTGCTTCCGCTTTCTGACCTGTACTGCGGAAGCGCTGCAATACTTCGATGATGCGTTCCACCCTCGGCGGCTCATGTAGAACATTACCGTGGGCGATTGGGCCTTCCTGGCCCTGAAGCAATGAGAATTTGGAGCCTGCCTTCTTCCCGAGGCGACCGAAGTCGGACGCGGATTCTCGAAAGTCTTTCCAGACAGCGGGGATGAATGAGGTTCCAATCCGGCATTTACACATGGCCCCGCCTGGGCCTCCAACCTGTTTCCACCCGAAGTCAGGACTCTTCCTCCTTCTCTGCCTCCTCCTCCTCCTCCGCCTCCTCCTCCGCCTCCTCCTCCTACTCCTTCTCCTCCTCCCCCATCCCCATCCCCTTCACCCCCCCCCTCCCCCTCTCCCCCCCCCTCCCCCCCCATCCCTCCCCCTCCCCCTCCCGTCCCCCCTCCCCATCTTCCTCCCCCTCCCCCTCCCCTCCCCATCCCCATTACTCCACCTGCTCCTATTCCTGCTGCGCCTTCTCCTCCCTCTCCTCCTCCTCCTCCTCCTCCTCCTCCTCCTCCTCCTTCTCTTCCGCCTCCTCCTCCTCCCTTTCCTCCTCCTGCTCCTCCTCCTCCTCTTCCTCCTCCCTCTCCTCCTGCTCCTCCTCCTCCTCCTCCTCCTGTATTCTTATTTCCTGATAAATAACTTCTGCCTGTCGTACTCTGAGGCCCGTCGGAAGGGCGGGCCGGGCGTTTCGCCCGAGACTTCATTACAACGTATGTCCTGGAGCGTAACAACACTTTCACACATGAAGGGCGGGTGGTTTTCAAAATGTGGCTCTCCCTTCAGCGCCGCGCGCAGTCGTTATCACAATTGGCAGAAACCTCGCGGATTGAGGACGGGTTGCTTTCAGAATGTGGCTCTGGCCTCAGCGCCGCGCACACTCGTCGTAGAGATGTGCAAGACACTTCACGGAGTGAGGCCGTGTCATGTTCAAAAAGCTGTCATCCCTTTTAGCGCCGAGCGCACTCGTCGTAAAATATTGCAAGAGTTCCACGGACTGGCGGCGGGTGGGCTTTCAACATGTGGTTTTCGCCTTAGTGCCGCGCGCACTCGCACATTCGTTCTAACAATGCAAGGTGTCCACGAATTGAAGCCGGGTGGTTTTCAAACTTTGGTTTTCGCATCAGCGCCGCGCTCACTCCACATAACAAATTGGAAGAACTTCGCGGATTGAGGGCGGTTCCTTTTCGAAATGTGGCTCTCGTCTAAGCGCCACGCACACTCCTCTTAAAATTTGCATCGATGCCACTGGTTCTCATGGTTATTGTACAAGAAACGGCGTTTGGAACAATTCAGGATTGTTAAGAATGGCTGTATGGCACGATTCCGAGACGTCAAAACGCAACTGTGAGGTCGATTTGTGGCGTTGAAATACCGAGAATGCTGTCTGGACGCGCTTCAGGTTGTTCAGCCGCTTGTCTCCTAATGGGAACCTTCCCTCAGTGGAACTGACTCTTTGTAGGGACCTGCGAAAGGGGAGTTTGGGAGAAGGGTATACTCAAACATCGCTGGTGAGTGTTAGCTTTGCACTAATCCTCCTCTTCCTCTTCTTCCTCCTGACCCTCCTCCTCCTCCTCCTCCTCCGCCTCCTGCTCCTCCTCGTCCTCCTCCTCTTCCTCCTGCTCCTCCTCCTGCTCCTCCTCCACCTCCTCCTCCTCCTGCTCCTCTTCCTCCTGCGCCTCCTGCTCCTCATCCTCCTGCTCTTCCACCTCCTCCTCCTCCTCCTCCTCCTCCTCCTCCTCCTCCTCCTCCTCCTCCTCCTCCTCCTATCGCCGCTGCCCGATCTGCGCCCCAATGCCGCGCCGCGTGCGCAGCGAGAGCGAACGGCCCGGCCTTGGTGGGCCTCGCACGGGCGCCCCTGCGGCCGCGCAGGGGCGCGGGGGGGGGGGCCGGCGCGCGCGGAGGGTCGGGGGCAACGCTGGGGGGTGTGGGTGGGCCAGATCAGGGGGGGAGAGCCATCGACATAGAATCAACGATACATCGCCGATATCGAATCCGCACGGTCGTGGGCGAATGACGGTATCGGGTACACCGCCGATAGATCGACGCCGGGTCCCCAAACAAATCAAATCTGGCACGGTCGTGGGCGAATGATCGGGCCCGCCTCTGCGATAAGTGAGCGGTTGGTGGTCCACGCGTCCCCCCCTGAGCCGATCCACCCCCCCGAACGTTACCCCTGAAGCAGGAGGGGGAGGCTCGCGCGCGCGGAAGGAGGAGTCCTCGTACTGCCCTTCCTCTTCCTCCTCCTCCTCCTCCTCCTGCTCCTCCTCCTCCTCCTCCTCCTCCTCCTCCTCCCCCTCCTACTCCTCCCCCTCCTCCCCCCTCCCCCCTCCCCCTCCTCCTGCTCCCCCTCCTCCTGCTCCTCCTCCTGCTCCTCCTCCTGCTCCTCCTCCTCCTCCTCCTCCTCCTCCTCCTCCTCCTCCTCCTCCTCCTCCTCCCCCTCCTCCCCCTCCTCCTCCTCCTCCTCCCCTCCTCCTGCTCCTCCTCCTCCTCCTCCTCCTCCTCCTCCTCCTCCTCCTCCTCCTCCTCCTCCTCCTTCCTCCTCCTCCCCCTCCTCCCCCTCCTCCTCCTCCTCCCCATCCTCCTGCTCCTCCTCCTCCTCCTCCTCCTCCTCCTCCTCCTCCTCCTCCTTCTCCTGCTTCTCCTGTTCCTCCTCCTCCTCCCAATCATACATCGACGCCGACCCTGGCCAGGCGCACCCTGAGCCCAGGATCGGCGCATGCGCCCCCGTGGCCCAGGCAGGGCGGCGCTTGCACCCGTCCTGGGCCCAGGGGTCGGCCCGACAAGGACCGGTGTCGGTGACTCGTTGGTGCCCCCATGAGGTGAGCATCGTTTTAAGTCGGTGCCCCCCGAGGTGTCGGTGATCAGCTGATGCCCCCTGTCGGTGATCAGATGGTGCCCCCTGAGGTGTCGGTGATTGCCCCCTGTCGGTGAGTAGTCTGTAGGTGATTAGTTGGTGCCCCCCGAGGTGTCGGTGATTAGTTGGTGCCCCCTGTTGGTGATTAGTTGGTGCTCCCTATCCCCCCTGGCGTGGCCTGGGCCCCACTGGCCGATTTACCCCTGAGATGGGGATGTAGGCAGCTCCCTTCGGGCTTCGAGGGGCACATCCCCAACTGGGGTGGTGGGATGGTGGGGATCGGGGTGGGGATGGAAATAGGGATAGGGATAGGGATCGGTTCAACGATACTGATGAGGGAAGAAGCGGGAGCGCATGTGGCGTTGTGTCCGGCCAGAAGGCCGACCCAAGGGAGGCGGAACGCAGGGGATGTAACCCCCGCGGGATGCCGTAGTTCACGGCGTACTGTTCCAAATCGTCCCAACAGCCCCCGGAAAGCACACAAAAACAGCTAAACAGTGTAGGTGGATGGACGCCTGAAACGTCGGCTTGCGAAAACGACCTCATCTGCTTGTCCATAAGATTGCGGAGTTGAACTTGCTGATGAACGTAACGTTCGTCATGTCGACCTGGTGACATGAACGCTCTTGGAACTACATCAAGGACCGAACGACCCCACTCCTGACAGCTGGAATGATGGGAAGAACATGGCCCTGCCACACTCTGGACCCAGGACAGCTGGGACGGTGAAATTCCGACGCCCCTGTCACAATTTCTGGACTTGCGGAGGCTCAAAATCAGCCAGAACACTCGCCCCCCCCCTTGTGGAGATCCTGGTGAAAGGAATCGTTGCGCTGAAATCGAATTTAAACATCGTAGTGAATCACAGATCCGGAAAACATCGAGGCAGAACACTGTGAGTCTCATGTAACGATCTGGGAGGGCTAAAACCGATACGGAACACTATAATGAGCCTAATTTCCTGATATATCGAACCATAACATAAGAGTGGGCCTCATTTCTGATCAGCAAATGCTGAAATCTCAGCAAAACACTATGGTGAGTCTCATTTCCGGAGAGCCAGCGGAGAGGTGGGACGCACCCCCCCTGGCTTCCCCTGGCGACATGCAAGCGGAAAGAACTCAAGCCAGAACGCAGCAGTGAGTCTCACTGATGGACCACATCGAACAAGAACACCATAGTGGCTCTAATGTCGGGATCTGGGATCTTTTCCAAGCCGAATCGGGCCAGACCGCGATAGGAAGTCGCACTTCTGGACCAAATCGTCACTGTGACGGCGGCAGATCTTTTGCCGCGCAATCGTTGTTCCAAACAGGGGTAAGGGTCGTCAATAACGTCTGTACGAGGTGTGGCCGCGAACCCGAGACTGACCTTCACCGCTGCTGGACTTGTACTGAAGACGAAAAACCTATAGACGTCAGCACGCAAAACACTTAAGAAGCCGGGGGGTGAGGGGTGCGGATGCACAACTTGCAGCCAGCTCATGGATAGCATCCCAAAGAAACAGGCTCCTGCCCCAGAGCCGCCAGACGAGTTGGAAATCCAGCTCGACCAAATCACGACCCACCAGCGCGGGACGCCGCGCTCGAGGGCCGAGCAATATCAATCCGCTTCTTCCTCCTCGTCCACCGCTAACTCCTCGTGATCTGCCTCGTTCTCATTATCCCCTTGCCCGTCCTGCCTCCCCGCTCCTCCTTTGCGCCGAATGCCAGCCACGGCCATGGCGGACCCGCTCACCATCGGGGGGCCGCCCTGAGCTTCGGCCCCTTCCCGGCGACAGGCGGCATATCGCTTCGCAGGGCGCGCTCGACCCTCACCTGGTTCTCGCAGGAACACCGCGTCTTTGCGGCAGCCGACGTGGCGGCCCTGGATAAACTGGGCAAGCGAATGGAAAACGCAACCACAGCGTGCTCGAAATGGCCTGAAAGAAAAGATGGCTACAGCCACGTCCTCCTGGCAGCGTCGTGCTGGAGCTTCATTGCCACATCGCCAAGCGGCGTCCTGTCAAGAGAATAGGCTGGTCTGAGCCTGAACTCGGTCATGGGGGGGCGCCATGTCAGGACGCCTTAAAGCTCCTTCTACTTGGAGCTCGGCTCGCTGAGTCTGGCAACAGCCAGAGCCTCCCTCCTCCTCCTCCTCCTCCTCCTCCTCCTCCTCCTCCTCCTCCTCCTCCTCTCCTCCTCCTCCTCCTCCTCCTCCTCCTCCTCCTCCTCCTCCTCCTCCTCCTCCTCCTCCTCCTCCTCCTCCTCCTCCCCTTCCTCCTCCTCCTCCTCCTCCTCCTCCTCCTCCTCCTCCTCCTCCTCCTGCCTCCTCCTCCCTCCTCCCTCCTCCTCCTCCTCCCCCTCCCCTCCTCCTCCTCCTCCTCCCCTCCCTCCTCCTCCTCCTCCTCCTCCTCCTCCTCCTCCTCCTCCTCCTCCGCCTCCTCCTCCTCCTCCTCCTCCTCCTCCTCCTCCTCCTCCTCCTCCTCCTCCTCCTCCCCCCCCCTCCTCGTTCCCCCGTGACTCTCCCTCCCGCTCCCAAGCCTCGCTTCTGCCGCTGCCACCCTCGGAGGGGCGCAGGGGCAGCCGCCTGCCCGGCGCCGACACGAACCCCGCGCCGCATCCTGGCCGGGGGGGCGAGAAGGCTAAAGAACGCCCCTAAGCCGGAGCCAAGACGAGGACAAGGAAAAGGAGGAAGAGAAGGAGGAGGAGGAGGAGGAGGAGGAGAAGGAGGAGAATGAGGAGAGGGTCTGAACGTCAGAGGGGGAGGGAGAAGGACGGGTGAGGTTAGATCGAGCATCTCCGAGATCCGGCGGCTCAGGAGGATGTCTCGGCGCCGCGGCCTTCTCAGAGCGTTCCCGAACGCTCTGAGAGCCTTCCGGAACGCTCTGAACGGACTTCGCCTCGTCCTGGTCCTAGCCCCGTGCGAGAGAGGGCGGAAGACCGTCCCAGGGGCGGAGGCAGGAGAGAGGCAGGACCCAGGCATGCTCGCGTCGCAGACAGCTTTTGGCCGGTCTCAGCCTCTGGGGGCCCCCAGTCTTGGAGAGAGCAAAGCCAAGCCATGGCATGTCTGGGGAGGCGGGGCCGGGGGTGGGGGAAGGCCGGGGCCAGAGGATGATGAGGAGAAAGAGGATCGGGGCTGGGAGGAGGCGGGTAAGAGCGGGGGAGGGAGCGGAGGAGGAAGACGAGGAGGAGGAGGAGCAGGAGGAGGAGCAGGAGGAGGAGCAGGAGGAGGAGGAGGAGGAGGAGGCAGGGGAGGAGGCAGAGGCAGCATGAGGAGGAGGAGGAGGAGGAGGAGGAGGAGGAGGAGAAGCAGGACGTGAAAGAGTGTAAGAGGGGAGCTCCCAAACGACACCTGCAAACGGACTGGCCCTCACGGCAACAATCATCAATTGCTCCTACCCCGAGTGCCCCAGCCGCCTCTTCCCATCCGCCTCATCGAAAGTTCACGAGCAGGGCAGCCCCTCCAGGAGGACGCAAGGCCTTAGGATGGACGATCGCCCCAAACCGCGCGAGGATATACCCATTCCTCCGTTCACCCTTCTATCTGCTAACCCCATCCATGTTTCTCCTCGTATCAACCTCTCCCATTCCAAGGCTAGAAGAAGCAGACTGCATCAGCATGCGCGTTCGGAGGTCCGCACGGATCTCTGGAAGCTCATGCTTATGTCGCGTCCCTCCTCCCTTCCTCCTGCCTGCCTTCCCCCTCCTCCCTTCCTCCCTCGTCTTCTTCGAGATGCCTTCCCCAACAGCCGCCCAGAAGCCCCTAAGAGGCCTCCAAAACTCAAAGAGGCCCCACGGAGGCCTGTTGTTGTACAAGACCGTGATACATTGGCGGGATGATACTTTTTGTCCGCGATCCAGTGAGGGCCTGAACGAAGGGCCAACAGCTGAGCCAACGATGGATATCACGCACTGCAATGGCGGGATGAGCCGACGGGAAACTCGATAAACAAAAAATTGTCGGAGGTCCGCGCGGTTTTCTTTGATCGGCGTTTCCTGGCGCACCGAGCGCGCCAGGGTCGGCGCCAGAGGCGCCGCCAACGGGGTCCAGCGCCCGTATAGGAAATCCGCGAAGACTTCCGAGGGCTTACGTATGTCTGGGCAGTTGTTGCTTGTCGATCCTTCGAGCTGCCTCGCCCCTCTTTGTTCCACACTGTTTGCTCCTACACAACTCGGATCAGATTGAGGGCAACTCGCCTGGGCATCGTCTCTGGATGGGCTGTTTGGGCTACGCGAAGCGTCAAGAGTTGTTCGTGTGCAGTTTTGCTCGCTCGAACTTGAAGGGGTCTGAAGGGCAACGTTCGGGGGGACTGGCTCAAGGATGAACATTGACATCGAATCTAATCGGCGATACATCGCCGACAGAGCGATGACAGGCCCCTGATAGCAAAGTTGCACCGTCCCGGGCGGGGTCAGCTATCGGGCCTTGGCAATGCATGGTCGATTGGAGGTCGACGCGGCCCCTCTGAGCCTATCTCCCCCCCTACAGCGACCCCATGGCTTCCGGGTCATACCTCGGCTCTCCGGCGGCCGCTCGGGACGATCCGGGCATCCCTGGAACGCTCTCGGCGAGGCGCAGCCGCTGGAAAGTACCCCCTAGGCAGGAAAACCGCCGAGAATCACACCTGGACCCCGTTCGTCCCTCCCCCTGTGGGGGGGGACGAAAAGGTACGCGGAGCTCGCCAGTCCCCAGGCCTCTCCCCGTGCGCCGTCCGGCCAGACTTCCGGGGTGCCTGCAGCCGTGGCGACGAGAGCTCTCCAGGACGCGCAGCGGCATCGGCACCGCTTCCTCCCCCGGCCTGCGTCGCTGACGCTGACATCGCCGCTGATCGCCCCACCGGCCATGGCGGGCCCGGCCCGAGCACCACCAGCACCGGGGGGCGAGGTGCCCGGGAGGGCCCTCTGGGTGGTGCGGTCCCCCCCTCCCGCTCCCGATCGAGGCATCCTCTTATCCCCAGCTCGGGCAGGCCTCGTGGACCCCTCCGCTGGAGGTGCCCCCCCTGGTGGTGCTGGTGGTGTTGCCTCTCCTTCCTCCGATTAAAGCCTGGACATGCGATGACCTGATTCGTTCGATTCGCGGTCTCTGCAACCAGCTTCGGACATATTCCTAATCCTGAGGTCGGCAAGCCAAAAGGCGATGACAACCTTAGGGATGTGCCCTCCCTGAGAAGCTGGAGGAATCCCCAAGATCGGCACCAAAGTAAGGTGATGACACACACGCAGGGATAGGGATATGCTTCAAGCTGGTAGCCCTGGACACCCCGACTCCTTCCCCGCGGCGTCGGCTTCTCATCCCGAGTCGTTCTTTGACGGCCCTGGGGCCCGGCGAGGGCCCCCGCAGGCCCAGAGCCAGCAGAGAACCTCCCGCCGCGACTTCTGCCGCGACGCGCACGTACCTGGGTCGCCCGCCCGGCAGGGGGTGGGGAACAGTGTCTGCGTCGGCGGCTGGGCGAGTGCCGTCTGCGCAGGCGATGGGAGGCCTGGACGGGGACGCCGTTGGAGCGAGCTGTGCCACCAGAGGAGCGTGGGGAGGGGGACCGGCCGAACGAGGGGCGGTCGGAGCGACCTGCTCAGGGGAGAGAGGCTGGGGAAAACCGCAGGTCCCGATACCGCTACTCCCTGGACCTCTCCTGGGGTGTGTTCGGACCAGAACTGCGCGGCGAGGGCAGCCGTGGCGACGCGGGCCTCCCAGGACGCCCAACATGGTAAAAACGAGGCAACGGCGACGAAGGCCTCCCAGGATGCCCGGGGAAAACGAGGCAAGGGTATAGCGGTATCGGCACATTCGCCCCCTGGCTGTCGGGTTCTCTGGCGGCCGTTCGGGCGAGCTGGACACCCCCAGAAAGCTCTCGGCGATGGGGCAGTCGCTGGACAGCATCCCGAAGCTGGGCGACCGCCGAAAACCGACGACAAAACATCAAACCAGTCTGCGGCAACTCATGGGGGAGGTACAATCTTGTCGACTCTTGCGTATGGACGCTGATCGGCGCTAACCGGCCACACATCGACGCGAATCGACGCTGTACCGGCGCTATCTCACCGACTACCACACGCCAGCCAACGCCAGTGCGCCAGAAAGACGGAACCACGTGGATGCACAAGGATCCCATGCGTTGCGACCGGATCCCCCTCGGACTTTCCGTGCGGCCGCTCGCCGCGGGAGCAAACCTCGAAAGCAAGGACGTGCGCGGCGACAGCAAAACCGAAAGCCGACCGAACAGACAACGAAACCGAAACCGACCGAATTCGACGGATTGCAAGCAACCTGCAGGGGCGCAGCGACGTGGCAACGACACGATAACCGACCGAACCGAACCGACAGAACGAAACCGACTGCGACGAAAACGAACCGACCGAATCGTGAACAACCTTTGGCAAGCGAGTAACCCGCCACACCCATACCCGCAGTGGGGTCGGAGGGAGGAAGCATCGCAATGGGCATGGGTGCGGCTTGGACCCTGGGGACGCTTCCGCTCCAGCGGGGCCCCCATCCGATAGCACGCACCCGCAGCCCCCCATCCGTCCCCCATGTGGGTATATGATGGCCATCGCTCCGACGTCGATTTCCCGTGCGATGTTTGAGCTCGTGCGCGCATTTGTTCGCAAGACGACCAAAGATGATCCTCGATGGTTCACGCCAGGATAATGCACACGACCAAACGATGCCAGCTCCGCCCTGTGCGTGCGTGCGTGTGTGCGTGGGTGAGTGCGCGTGTGTGTGTGTGTGTGGGTGGGTGGGTGGGTGGGTGTGTGTGCGCGCGTGTGCGCGTGTGCGCGTGTGCGCGTGTGCGCGTGTGCGCGCGTGCGCGTGTGTGCGCGCGTGCGCGTGTGCGCGTGCGCGTGCGCGCGTGTGCGCGTGCGCGCATGTGCGCGTGTGCGCGAGGGCGCGTGTGCGCGCGTGCGCGTGTGCGCGCGTGCGCGTGTGCGCTTGTGCGCTTGTGCGCGTGTGCGCGTGTGCGCGTGTGAACGTGTGCGCGTGTGCGCGTGCGCGTGTGCGCGTGTGCACGTGTGCGCGTGTGCGCGTGCGCGCGTTTGCGCGTGTGCGCGCGCGTGCGCGTGTGCGCGTGTGCGCGCGTGCGCGTGCGCGCAGGTGCGCGTGTGTGCGCGTGTGCGCGTGCGCGCGCGTGCGCGTGCGCGCGTGCGCGCGTGCGCGCGTGCGCGCGTGCGCGCGTGCGATCGTGCGCGTGCGCGTGCGCGTGCGCGTGCGCGTGCGCGTGCGCGTGCGCGTGTGCGCGTGCGCGTGCGCGTGCGTGCGCGTGTGCGTGTGCGAATGCGTGCGCGTGCGCGTGCGCGTGTGCGTGTGCGTGTGCGTGTGCGTGTGCGTGTGCGTGTGCGTGTACGTGTGCGTGTGCGTGTGCGTGTGCGTGTGCGTGTGCATGTGTGCGCGCGCTGCGTGCGTGCGTGCGTGCGTGCGTGCTTGCGTGCGTGGGTGCGTGCGTGCGTGCGTGCGTGCGTCCGTGCGTGCGTGCGTGCGTGCGTGTGTGTGTGTGTGTGTGTGCTTGCGTGCGTGCGGAGGGGGAGGTCGTGTGTGTTGCTCGCTCGTCAACCTTGGCTCGCCGCAGGCGCAAACACACCGAAAACCTTCTCGGAGGGGCCGAGCGGTCCCGCCGCGCACGCCGAGGCCCCCAGCAGCGCCAACGCTGCGCCGCGGCGGGCCTGCAGCCTGCCGGCGCCAGGTTCCCTGCGAGGGGGTGGGCAGTGCGGAGGCGGGTGGATGGGTAGTGTAAGCAGTGGCCCTCCTCCTCCACCTCCCCATCATCATCATCATCATCATCATCATCATCATCATCATCATCATCATCATCATCATCATCATCATCAGCATCAGCATCAGCATCAGCATCAGCATCAGCATCAGCATCAGCATCAGCATCAGCATCATCATCATCATCATCATCATCATCAGTATCATCATCACCATCACCATCACCATCAGCATCATCATCATCATTATCAGCATCATCATCAGCATCATCAGCAACAACAACATCAGCAGCAGCATCATCATCAGCATCATCATAATCATCATCATAATCATCATCGTCATCCTCAGAATCATCATCAGCACCATCATCATCATCATCATCATCATCATCATCATCATCATCATCAGCATCTACACCATCATCAGCATCAGCATCATCATCACCATCATCAGTACCATCGTCATCAGCATCAGCACCATCATCATCAGCAGCATCGTCATCATCACCAACATCACACTCATCATCAACATCATCATCATCATACTCATCATAAGCATCATCAGCATCAGTATCAGCATCAGCAGTATCATCAACAACAACATCAGCAGTATCGTCGTCATCACCATCATGTTCATCATGTTCATCATCGACATCATCCCCTTCACCAAATCACCGTCATCGTATCACCATATCATCATATCAGCATCAGCATCAGCAGCATCAGCAGCATCAACATAGCTAGCATCATCAACATCATCATCAGCCGCATCATCCGCATCAGCATCTGCATCATCAGCATCATCAGCATCAGCATCAGCATCAGCATCAGCATCACCACAATCGTCATCATCATCACCAGCATCATCATACGCACAATCATCATCATCATCATCATCATCATCAGCATCAGCATCAGCATCAGCATCAGCATCATCATCAACATCATCATCATCATCAGCATCAGCATCAGCATCAGCATCAGCATCAGCATCAGCATCAGCATCATCATCATCATCATCATCATCATCATCATCATCATCATAATCCATGCCCTCCTCCTCCTACTCCTCCGCCTCCTCCATGCCCTCCTCCTCCCCCTCCTCCATGCCCTCCTCCTCCATCTCCTCCTCCTCCCTCCTCCCGCCGCGCCCTCCTCGCCTTCCGCCTCCTCCTCATCATCATCATCAGCATCCTTCTCCTCCTCCTCCTCCCCTCCTCCTCCTGCTTCTTCTCCTCCTCCTCCTCCTCATCCTCCTCCTCCTCCTCCGCTTCCTCCTCCTCCTCCTCCTCCTCCTCCTCCTCCAACTCCTCCTCCTCCCCCTCCTTTCACTTCTCTTCCTCCCCCTCCTCGCACTGCTCCTCCTGCTCCTCCTCCTCCTCCTCCCCCTCCTCCTCCCCATGCCCGGGGGACTCCCAGGCGAGTGCCGCCCCAAAGGAGCACACAAGGTTTCCTGGGCATCCTGATGCTCCCTACTGGCCGAGGACAGCTCTCTACCGCACAGCCCCCCAGAGCGGGAAGCGTCTTCGTCGACGTCGTCGTCGCCGCCGCCGCCGCCGTCGTCGTCGTCGTCGTCGTCCGTCGTCGTCGTCGTCGTCGTCGTCGTCGTCGTCGTCGTCGTCGTCGCCGTCGTCGTCGTCGTCGTCGTCGTCCGTCGTCGTCCGTCGTCGTCCGTCGTCGTCGTCGTCGTCGTCGTCGTCGTCGTCGTCGTCGTCGTCGTCGTCGTCGTCGTCATCGAGGAGGGAGACGCGGTCGAGGAGGGGGGAGAGAAAGGAGGGGGTAGGGACGAAAAGTGGAAGAGAGCGGGGCGTGAGAGGAAGGGGGGCGGAGGGGAAGGATAAAAAGGGCGACAGCAAAATAAAGGTGTCACATGCAACGCGCTGGTGAAACAGGATTTGGGCGTTGCCGCCCTTTCAGCCTTCCGACCGCCCACGAAGGTCAGATCCAAAATCGCTACAATTCAGGACAAGAGGTCCACAGGACGGCCATGAGACGGCCAAGGAAGGCTCCAAGATGGCCGCATACGCATCCCAAGAAGCCTCCTAGCCCCCGACGAGGGTCGGAACAGAAAGAACCCGAACTGAAATGTCGAACCGTTCCCTTGGAGGGTCAAGTCCACCTGCTTCTCGAAGACCCATAGAAACGACCATATGCCAACCACTGTTCTCACATTCTAGCTACAAGCGTCTATGGACACGTTCGGTGTCCTTGCGTCTGTAGACGCACTCGGGGTAAATACGTATGTGGGCAACGCGGCCGTTGCGTTCGAAACAGTACAGGGTACATCATCTCCCTGCTCACTGAGCAGGCCCCACATGGTACTCCCAGCCTCTCCCGACAAGTGACCCGTGAGACCGCCGGAAAACCCGAGAACCCCGAAGGGCCCCCAGCAGCCCTTGTCTTCGCTCGGACGTCCATTCCCCGCGCATGTTTCGGTTTCGAGCGCGCATATTCGGCAAAATGATCCAGGATGCTCATCAGTGGTCGTCGCCAAGGAAAAAAGGACACGTCCGAGCGACGCCAAGAGCCCCACAACCAGCCCCAAAATGCCCCAAGCGGTTCCCAAGAGGTGCCCAGAAGCCTTAGGAGTGCTCCCCGGGACCGCAGGCAAGCGACAACGATGCCACAAGAGACCAGCCTCCACCACAGCCTCTAAAACGCTCACAGGAGAATCTTTGGGAAGCTCCCCAAGAGGACCCACAGACCTCCCAAATCCCCTCCAAACGCAGTCCCAGTCGCTGCGGTGACACTGTACGGGCCGGCGGAATGAGCGCGAAACTATTCATTCGGCGTGCCTCCTGGGGGTTTTCGCCGCGATGTATCATTCAAGAGTCGGATAATGAGAAGGGCGGAGAGGGCTTCGCGCCTTCCACTGGCCCGAAGAAACGAGGAGTACGAATGATCAGCTATTCGCCCAGAGCGCGTAAACATAGGAGAAAGATGCACGTCCAGATGTAGGCCCACGTGCGTGGCAAGGTTTGCGGCACGTGCAAATATGAACGACACGAAAGCATCGTCTCGGCACGCCCCCCGCGAAATTATTTCCCCAAACTTCCTCGCGGCATGTAAAAATACGCGTGATGTGCGCCCCCGTGGCTACCAACATCCCGATTCGGCACGCCCCTCACGCACTGCCTTCCCCATACCACCTTGGGGCATGTCGAAGTACGCGCGATGCGCGCCCCCATGGCTACGAAACCTTCGGTTTGGCACACCCCTTTCACTCCTTCCTCAGACCACCTGGGGCATGTACAAATACGTGCGGCGTGCGCCCTCGAAGGGCTGCGAAACTTTCGACCCGGCACACCCATCACGCACGTCCTGCTCCACAAACGACTCGGAACCGTGAACATACGATTGGTCTGCGCCCCGCGGCCGTTCGGTGCTACGCGGGATGTCAACACTGCGCCAAGAGACTTCAACGATTGGTCTGCGCTCCGCGGCCGTTCGACGCTACACGGAGTGCCAACATGGCGCCAGGAGGCTTCAGCGATTGTTGCCGACCCTCGTCGAACCTGGGATGCGCGCTCTGGGGACCTCCCTGGGGACACTCGCTCCACTCGCGCGTCGAATCTGCATCGGACGTCCGTCGACTTGAGCCGACCTCGAGCCGAACATGGGTCAAACCTGAGATGACGACCTACCAGACCACCCCAACCCAACCCGAAGACCCGAATTTCGGGTTTGGGGGGGTACGAGCTTCATCGGTTGTTTTTCCATGTTCCCCGACCCCCCAATTGAAATGGAGGGCAAGTCGGGGCCTCCTTCGGGTTGGGTTCGGGTGGCTTGGTGGGCGGTCATGAGTCGAACTTGAATCCAACTTGAGTCGAACTGGGGTCGACCTAGGGTCGAACAGATTCGTGAGGTGGGCCCTAGGAAATTCCCCCAAACGAGCACCCAACGAGCCAGCATCTCCCTCAAAATTCGCTGAGAACCCCGCTCGCCCGTAGCTGGGCTGCGCTGGCAACCGCAGCGTCGGGTGTGCGCCAAAGCCTGCGCCACGCCACGTGGCGCGGGCGCCGCGCCGAGAGGGCGCTGGAGGCATTGGAGGCCTCGGTGCTGGTCGCTGCACGACCCCGTGAAACGATGCGACCAGCGCCGTGCGCCGCCAACCCCACACCCGCCGACTGCAGAGTCTGCGTGCAAGCTTCCCTCCTGTGGGCCCGCCGTGGCTCCCGCCCTGCGAGCTCAAGGGACAAACGGGTGCCACCCCACGCAGCGCGCCGGCAGCAGCAGAAAGGAGCAAGTGAGGGGGCAGAGGCTTAGGCAGTCAGCCCAGGTGCCGGAAGAGAGGCCAGACGGGGAGGAGGCGAAGCGAAGCGAAGCGAGGCGAGGCGAAGTGGGGAAAAGCGAATCGAAACGAAGGCGCGGGAGTCGGGCACACAGGTGTACCTGTGCCCACTTGGAAAGGGCGCACGAGGCCGTGGCCTCATACCGCGTGGGGAGCCCGCGCACGGAGGGGCAGGCTGACGAGGGGGAGGAGGAAGAGAGGGGGGAGGCAGAGGAGGATGGAGGAGGAGGAAGAGAGGAAGAGAGAGAGGAGGCCAGGCAGAGGAGGGGCTAGGAGGAGGAGGAAGAGGAGGAGGAGGAGGAGGACAAGGAGAAGGAGGAGGAGGGGGAGGAGGAGGAGGCAGGCAGGAGGGAGGAGGAGGAGGAGGAGGGAGGAGGAGCAAGAGAGGAGGGAGGAGGTGCGCTCATCCCAACCCCGCGTGTTCTCCCCTGAGCAGGCGCCGCAGCCCCGCCTGCCTCTGGGCCAGCACCTTGGCCCGCGCCTTGAGGAGGCTAGCCACACTGAGCCTCCGACCTGAATTCCTTACCTTGTTGTAAGCATGGAAAAGAAGATCGATGGCAATGACACAACTCGCATGAGCATGGATGGAGCCATCGAAAAACAGGGGGCACAGCTTCCTTTCACTGCTCCATTCGGAGTAGTCATGAGGTAAAAGAGGAAGCAAAGCAGAAACAACAGGCGAGGAG